AAGGGCTGATAAACAAAAGAATCAAACGAGGCATCACAAAAATTATGCAGATAGGAAAGATCAAAGCTCTCACGCTTAGTTTCTTGTAAGCATAAGACATCACAACTATTATCTTTTAAACGATCTCTGATGGCGTTTCACTTTTTATCCGAGTTGATTCCATGGATATTCCATGACAAAACATTCCAATGTTTTACAACCCTGATAACAAAAGATAAATGAAAGAAAAGAGAACTGTGAAAACATCACTTCTAAGCATCCTGAGATGGACCTGCTCCTGAGCTTGGGTCCTTGCCTTTCTTTGAGGTGCCCACATCCTTGTTGGATTTCTTGCCATCATCCTTGCTGGATTTCTTGGGCTTCTTGGAAGGGCTTTTGGGCTTCTCGGGGAGGCCTGACCCAGATTCTGTCGTCAGCTTGGTCTTCTTGTTGGTTGGCTTGCCGACCACACTCTGCTTCAGCTTCTTGGCATTGAGGCTCTCATATGTAAGATTGGTTGGGTCGATGTTGTAGAAAGTCGTCCCTAGATCACATACTATGGAAGGAGAAAGAACAAGAGGATTAGGAGAGCAACCGAGATAGTTACGATCGTTATAGACTGGAGATTTGAAGCCTTTATGCATACTGTGAACTCTTTCATTTCTTCTCAAATCTGTTTCTAAATTATGGATAGACTTACCTCTTTTTCCTTTAGGAGGTGATCTAGAGGTGGCAGGGGGTGGTGGAGGAGTAGAGTGTTCCACAACACTGTCTTGGGGGTCAAGAACATGCTCAATAGCAATAGCAGCTTGATCCACAATAGCTTGATCCACCAAAATGTTTGGCTTGGGAGTGGACAGAGCTTGTTGAGAAGAAACAATAGATGTATCATCTGAGATAAGAGCAGAACAGACATAGGTTAAATCAGTGATTACAACCGAAGGCTTGGAAGGGGGTAAAGTAAAAGAGAAAGAAGTACCACCAAAGTGCTTTTGGAAATTAACCCAAGCAGGAGAATTGAGGAACTGTTTAGCCTAATCATAGGAACCTTGTTTGAGCATCAGAAGAGTGAAGAAGTCAACCCATGGTGTAGGAATGTTGACAGTTGGTAGAGATATGTCCACACTGTTGAAATATTTGGCCCATCATCTGATGGCCATTGGGCTTGGGCCACTGATAGAAGAAGCCTGCTGAAGCAGTGATGGATCAACCGGGGGAGTGAAAGTTTCCACCAGGGCCACTTGTAGATGTTCAAAATTTTCAGCATTGGCGCCTTCGTGACCACCCGCCACAGCATCATCACCACCTACTTCATTATTGAGATCATCAAAAGCCACTAAGTCTTCAATATGAACTTCTTTGACTTGAAAGGCCACAATACTTTGAAGGTTAGGGAAATTAGGAATTTCCACTTCCTGTGCTAGCAGTGGTGGAGGTGGGGCCTCATCTTCAGAGCTATCAATAATGTCATCCATAGCTAGGACCTGACCCTGTGGTGCCTGTTCAAGAGTAGCAACTTGTTCAACTACTACCTGCAACACCTCTTCAATAGGCTCCTGATTGTTCTCAGCTTGACCTCCATTAGGCTGGATGGGGATAAGATTTGGTGCCTCATCAGCTTGACCTCCATTGGCATCTGGCTATGGCCAAACTCCCCAACCCAGAGCCTATTGATGTTCCATGTTAGGGGTAGGTTGATCATTTGCTGGTGGTGGTGGAGGAGAGCCTTGTCCAGTCTAACCAAATCTATGAAAATAAAAAACATTTGGATCAAAGTCCCCATCATCAGGGGGAAATCTTCATCTTGAGCAGCATTGCCAATCATTGTAGCTTGGATCATCTCAGTCTGAACTGACCAACTATCTGTGTCAGGGCCAACTCCTTCTGTGAAAACAAAAAACCAGGGGATGTCTTCAAGACTAGAAACCCTAACTTTGACAACTGCTCTTGCAAGATTATAGTGATCCACTTCCCAGATCATGAGCAGACCAAAGGAGGAGACAACTTTCTCCACCAATTGCCTGGTCCAAAGGTCAATGTCAAACCCAATCATAATAAGCCAAACCTCATGAGTCATAATGCAGTTCTATGATTCCAAGCTCTGTTATGTAGAAAAAAAAGAGATAGTACCATTGCCAAAATGGTGAGGGCTCTGTTCAATCAAAAGATCCCGCTCATGAATGTAATTGAAACAAACAAAAGCCTGGCCAAAAGGAGATGGCTGCAAGCTACGGTATCCAACATCCCTATGATTCGTCAGAAAGTCATCCAAAGGCATACGAACATCCTAGAAATCAACTGGCCCTTGAGGCATTGGGTGCAAGACAGCAAAAACAAGATCATTCTTTCTCTGAGGAACATGCCCAACAACTACTCTGCGCATAAGCGGGCACCCATCAACCATCATGCGCTGCGTGCCAGGAGGCAAGAAAGGTGTAGGATCAACAAAGCGAAAAAGCCATGGCGTGCTGCAAAGAGAGGTCAGGGTACTGTAGCACCAATTGGGGTTTTCTCCTCCCAGAAAACATGACAAAGCGGAGGAATGGAGGTGAAGGCGAGCACAGACTTGGCGTACTCACCAAAGGAGTCGAAGAAGGGTGCGCTCCTAGAGGTCGGAGGGGGAGATGAGGCACCGTCGATCACCGTCACCTCGTCGTTGTTGCCGTCCAGGAACTCTAGAGTGGTGATACGCCAGGAGCGAGACCAAGAGATGACTGCAGGGGAAGGTGGGGTAATTCCAGTAGAGTGAATAAAGTATTCACGCATGGATGCGAAGCGTCGGGCAGGAACAGTGGAGGAGGGACCAATTGTCATAGGGATATTGGAGAGACGGGATTTGGTAGTAGCAAAATTACCATCCGCAAATTTGCCAGAGAGGCACGGAGATCGAGGCGGGAATTGGCAGTTGCCAAATGAATGGCCTAATCGGAGGCAATTACGACAACGCAAAGGATTGGGACAAGTGGGCCTCAAGTGACCATGGGCCAAACATCTCGAACAAAATAAATGGGCTGGACTGCTACCAAGAATGCCCTCATAAACATAATTTGAAACTGAAGTAACGGCAGGCATAGTTGTCGCGCCAAATTTAATACGATTGAAGACTGAGTTATGAACTGATTGGGGATTCAAACCTGGGACAGGTGCACTGCTCGTCACCGGAATGGCGTTTGCTCCGATGAGCAATCCGGTCGTCGGCGGTGAAGGATTCCTCTTCTTTCCCACCGTGGACCATTGAGCTTCTTCCTCAGCAATCCACTGATGGAGTTCAGAGCGATAATTGGGACCCCCGCCATGCCAGAGGTTAAAGTAAACCTTGAAAAGAGCACACTCAAAGGAGCGGAGCTTATAAACATGAAAACCAACCACCGGCGATGAAACAGAGAAGCGGAAAATTCTATCACCGAGTTTTAGGACATGAAAGTTTGCGGGCACACCTTCGATGGCAGATTAAAGAAGAAAGGGAACCGAATTTTCAGATAATTTGAATTTGCAACGACCAAAAGAGACAACCATAAAAAATCAGAGGAGGAGAAGGAGGGATCAAAGCTGACCGGCGAGCCATACTGACGACGAATCTCAGCTTCAACCACTCTCCCAGGTCGGAAGTTTTAGACCCGGAAGATCCATAACTCGAGCACGTTATCACCACCTGAGGAGAGGTGAAGGTCGCCATCCAGCAGGGCGAGTAGAGAGGAGGGGATGCGCACCGACCCCCAGCCAAGGGCTCGGCGAGCGGTGGTGCACGACGGGCCCGGAGAAGACACCAGCGTGTAGACCTTCACAATCGCCTCAACCTTCATGATTTTTGCCTCGCAATGGTTGTTCGTTATCCGTGTTCCTCGTCGTCTTTTCTCTGTGTGGCCACTTTATACCTTCTCGTTATAGGAAGTTTAAAACCACAAAACTGAAAAGCATTAAGAGGGAATCACATAGCTAAGATACGGAGTATGTCAACAAATTTCAAATATTCTATGGTGCACAAGTGAGATAATCAGGGTGAACAAAGGGGGCGAGAAACAATAAAGATCTTGTAAATCAGAAGCACCAAATAAGTAGTTACCTACAAGTCATGTTGCTGCAGCACATTGTTCTTCGAGAAAACTTAGCACACGCCTGGACTCTGTTGCATGAGTTGCCATCAGCAATATACCGTGATATACATTCCATCTTGCAATATGCAACCAAGACACCGTGCTAGTTCTAGCCACGATCGGTGTAGTGCATGATTGCAGTGTACAGTCAAGATGCACTTTCTCCTGATTTTTGACAAGTTCTGATGGTGCATGCATGCTGGCTGCTGGGGCCGGGCTCTTCTCCTTCGAGGCTTCGTCCTGTTCACTTAATTTATAAGCTGTATTTTTCTAGAAATGAACAGTAATTTTCTTTTAAAATAATCGAGCACTTGTCTGAACACTGAAGTCCACTTGTCTGAACACTGAAGTCTGAACCCACCCCAAACTTCCACACGGAGCGCGTCGTCGCGGAGACCCAGGTCCGGGTGAAGTGGTGACCTCACCGCGCCGCGCACGCGTCCAGCGTCCTGCCGCGCGCCCGTGACCCGGTGCAATCCATGGTTACTTTTACGATACCGTAGCATTTTCGTTGTTATTTGATAATTAGTGTCAATCATAATTTAATTAGACTTAAAAGATTCGTCTCGTGAATTTTATCTAAACTGTGTAATTAATTTTATTTTTTATTTATATTTAATACTTCATGTATGCATCAAAAATTGATGTGACAGAAAATCTTAAAAATTTTTACAAAATAAAGTGCAACTAAACAACACCCAACTCGAACTCTTAGTCATCATCAAGGACGGCCAAGCAGGAGACGGTGGCGGAGGAGGTGGGGCCCCACCGGCCACCGCCATGTCCACCAACCCAAGCAAGGCACATATACTCCCGTCCCATCGGCCATCGTAAGAATCACAGACAAATTAGCACGCGCTGCTCCTGGCAGCTGGTTTACTTAAAACCCAAACCCCTCGTCATCCAGCAGCAGCCAAGCCAGCCACCATGGCTCCACCACCTCTGCTTCCGCCTCTCCTCATCCTCCTCGTCATCGCGCCTCTCTTCCCCACCGCCGCGCCGACGGCCACGACGCTGCCGCTGTACCGCCACCTCCCTCACCTGGCCGAGGCCGGGCACCACCACCCGCTGTATCGCCTGGCCGCCGCGTCGCTGGCCCGCGCGTCGCACCTCAAGCGCCGGGGCCGCCCCGGCCACCACAGCCAGAAAGGATCATCAGGCGGCCGCCCGTCAACACCAGCCACCGCCGCGCTGTACCCGCACTCCTACGGCGGCTACGCCTTCACGGCGTCGCTCGGCACGCCGCCGCAGCCGCTCCCCGTGCTGCTCGACACCGGCAGCCACCTCACGTGGGTGCCGTGCACCTCCAACTACGACTGCCGCAACTGCTCTTCCCCGTTCGCCGCCGCCGTGCCTGTCTTCCACCCCAAGAACTCCTCCTCCTCCCGCCTCGTCGGCTGCCGCAACCCCTCCTGCCTGTGGGTCCACTCCGCCGAGCGCCTCGCCAAATGCCGCGTCCCCTGCTCCCGCGGCTCCAACTGCACCCCCACCGCCACCGCCAGCAACGTCTGCCCGCCCTACGCCGTTGTCTATGGCTCCGGCTCCACCGCCGGGCTGCTCATCGCCGACACGCTGCGCGCGCCGGGCCGCGCCGTCCCGGGCTTCGTCCTCGGGTGCAGCCTCGTGTCCGTGCACCAGCCGCCGTCGGGCCTCGCGGGCTTCGGCCGCGGCGCGCCGTCCGTGCCCGCGCAGCTCGGGTTCCCCAAGTTCTCCTACTGCCTCCTGTCCCGCCGCTTCGACGACAACGCCGCCGTGAGCGGCTCGCTGGTCCTCGGCGGCGACAACGCCGGCGCCGAGGGCATGCAGTACGTTCCCCTGGTTAAGAGCGCAGCGGGCGAGAAGCAGCCGTACGCCGTGTACTACTACCTGGCGCTGTCGGGCGTGACGGTGGGCGGGAAGGCGGTGCGGCTCCCGGCGCGGGCGTTCGCGGCCAACGCCGCGGGGTCCGGCGGCGCCATCGTAGACTCCGGCACCACGTTCACGTACCTCGACCCGACGGTGTTCCAGCCCGTGTCGGACGCGGTGGTGGCGGCGGTCGGCGGGCGGTACAAGCGGTCCAAGGACGTGGAGGACGGGCTGGGGCTGCACCCTTGCTTCGCGCTGCCGCAGGGCGCCAAGTCCATGGCGCTGCCGGAGCTGTCGCTCCACTTCAAGGGCGGCGCGGTCATGCAGCTCCCGCTCGAGAACTACTTCGTGGTCGCGGGGCGCGCCCCCGTGCCCGGCGCTGGCGCCGACGCCGCCGAGGCCATCTGCCTCGCCGTCGTCACCGACTTCGGAGGCTCCGGCGCTGGAGACGAGGGCGGCGGCCCGGCCATCATCCTTGGCAGCTTCCAGCAGCAGAACTACCTCGTGGAGTACGACCTGGAGAAAGAGAGGCTGGGGTTCCGCCGGCAGCCATGCGCGTCGTCGTCGTGAGCGACGTCGATCGGCATGGCAGGATCGGAGTGGAGGCTATTAATTACTCCAGTCCACGTAGCGGCAAAGCTAAATGCAAGCTGCCTGCTTGCTCTTTTACTATCGTGCTTTGCGGATTGTACTGGTAATAAACTAAATTTACTATCGTGTAAGATTGGGAAAAAAAAATACTATCGTGTGCCTGCTCATTCATGTCATTTGGATGTGTTTAGAGTTTAGACGTTGATCATCATCATGGTATGTGAAGAAAAGATTTAAAAAAGACGGATGGTTTCCTTTTGTTTAAGATTGAAAAAAAGACTATCGTGTGTGCATCTGCTCATTCATTAGAATTGGATGTGTTTAGAGTTTTTAGAATCGTTGATCATCATCATTTCTGTGAAGAAAAAACAAAAAAGCAAAAGACGGATGATTTCCTTTTTCTTTAGGGATTGCTTTGGGAAGAGGGGAAGCATGTGCATCGATGCAGCTCATTAGAATTGTTCTACTCCACACTATTAGTAGTATTTTATTTTAATCCGTATTTTTTAGCATATTTCAGCATTTCTCTTGGACTAAAAACAAAAAAGCAAGCATGTGCCTGTGATATGGGCCATTGGCTTCTGGGCTGACGGGTGGAATGTTTGGTGGGCCACTGGGCCTACCTCTTGTCGCATAGTACGTACCTTGATTGCATGTGGTCGTGGGCAGGGCTACTTTTACTTCCCCTACCTAATTCACTGGAGTACTGACTGGCGACGTGAATGAGGGCATGTGCCATTGCTCGCCGTGTCGGCAGTGCAGTGCAGGGACCGGGGCGTCTTCGATGTGTACGATTAGGGTATTTATTTTTTTACCTTTTTAGAAGAATTTATTTATTTACTTGTGCAATACCGGCCGGCAGTAAAAAGAATTACAGGTATGGCCTTCAAAAAACTGTGCTTTCCTTCTATAGTTTTTTTTTAACTTACATATAAGGCCGGAAATCGAAAATCTCTTACCTGACCTTCCGTCCAAATCTGTCAGCTTCTACCGTTACTTCTTCTACCCTATAAGCTACGCAAAAAGTCCAGATTACCCCTGCTTCCTTCTTACCTCCTGTTTCACGCTCGTGAAGTTTTCGCGTTTCTTCGGCCAAGAAAAAAGGTGGGGCGCGTGGTCGGTGGTGCATGGAGGACGGCCGCGCCGATGGGGGGCTACCCGGCGCCGGCGGACTCCTCTGCGTCGCCAGATCCGGGCGCCGATGGGGGGCTGGAGGCTGAGGCAGGCGGAGACGGAGACGTGGCGTCGCAGGCGTCCGGCGGGCTGCTGCGGCGTCTTGGGCGACGGGCAGCCGCAGCGGCGCGGCACCAACACGGGGTCACGGGCCACCAGGAGCAGCCGATCTGCATGCGGCCCCGTCCGACCAGCATGTCAAGTTCAAATTAGTTTAACGAGTTTTATGCTATATAGGTTGGTTTATAGGCCCAGGTGGACAGTAGTTGTATTTTTTCTTCTACATATAATAATAGAATTTGTAATTGTACTAGTGAATATGCTTTAAGTTATTCTTTTTACTAGGTTGTTTTTTATGTAAATCTATTTTTTGTAAACTCGTCTTACTGGCGAGTAATTTCTTCCACCCAGAAAACAAAATTTCAAAGTTATTTATTTATGCAATGTAATTGAGCAAGTCCAGGGTATAATTTTGAAAAATATATTAAAAACTAAAAAATTCAACAGTTGGCGCATTGAAACCATATGTACTATTACGTGTGACCTTATTTACACAATATTACTCTCAATCTAAAACAGATAAACTAAAATATGTATTTTTTTTTATGGGTAAAATGGTCATTTTACCACTCATTTAACAACGTTAAGTGGATGAATTGGATGGAAGGTCATATAGGTAAGAGATTTTCGATTTCGGGCCTTATAGGTAAATTCAAAAAAAAAAAAGACCATAGAAGAAAGGCACAGTTTTTTTTAGGCCGTACAAGTAATTCTCTTAAAAACATTTGTACTCGTAAAACTAGTGCTAGGAGTACATTCTACTGTTCTGGGCTCGGCTTTCTGTTTGTACCTCATTTTCCATCAGGCCCAACAACACGCAGTGGGCCTCGCATTGACTGGCCCACTCCTCCATAGCGACAGAGAGGGAAGCTGATACGCAATACGCAATCTCAAAAGACGCGGACGGGGAAGGCCCAAACGAACATGGGCTGATGGGCCATGCGCGTCTACTTTGTTTCCTTCCTTGTTCGGCTCTTTCCTAAAAGGCTTGTTTGGAAACATTGCAATTGCAATTTCCTAAAAAAGGCTTGTTTGGAAACATAGCTCTTTCGTTGCAACCACCGCAGCTGGAACATAGCGGAAGCTCTTTCCTAAAAGGCTTGTTTGGAAACATTGCAATTTCCTTCGATGCATATGTATTGGAAGATGGAAAAGATTAAGGTAAAAAAGATTAGTTTATTTCCAGGGCCGGCCCTGGGGCGGGCAAGCGGGGCCGTCGCCCTGGGCCCCCGATTCCAAGTGTCTAACGAGCGAGTACTAACACTAGATGACGACCGACTCTATGTGCACGTGGCCCACGGCGTCCTTGTCCTTGGATGTTTAGTGGAGCACCAGCCACCAGGGCACAAGCTATTCGCTGTCCACGATCCACCATTGTCTTGTCGTTTTGAGCTCGTCATGGTTCCTGCATTGTTCTTTGCATTCAGTCATGAGCAGGACAGACAGGACCGTAGAACCCAACCACCGGTAGATATTTTCTGTCAGGAAGCGAGGACCGGTTGTTATTTTTGGTCACCTGCACTGCACCTAAAAGCTATGCTCACAAAAATGAAAGAAATTGAAATAACTTTCAGCTGAACCCGATCATCAGACGCACGGGCAGGCTTGCAGTTGAAGCGTGTGAACTTGAGAATATGCGGACCTGATTCCGTCAACGGGAGTGACAATTGTTTTGTGTTGTGACACTGACGCACACACACCAAGCAAAGGAAGAAACCAAACCAAGCGCAATTGGATCACGTCGTAGAAAGGTTGGGGATAAATGGAATTGGCCAATCGCACACATGATAGCGTAGACACTAGAAAAAAAAAGTAAAGTGCTCTGCTGTTTTCAGGGGGCAGAAAGGTCGCAAGCTTTCCGCTTGCAATATCTACAGCCTGTTCGGTTGGCTGGTTTATAAAAAAATACTGTTGACTGGTTTGTGTGAAAGAAAAATACTATTCCAACTAAAAATTTACGATCATTTACGACTAGCCACACCCAGCCAAACGAACAGCCTCCTCTCAACCCGTGAATTGGTGGAGCACGTCACGTCGCGCCTGCGCGGGTGCGCCAAACAACAGCTAGCACCTAGCACCACAAATGTTTCGTGACGATGATCCATTAGCGAATTTTTTGGGATTGGAACATGATAGCGAGGATTGCAACTGAACATGAACCGATTCGAATGGCAAGACTTCAGGAACAGAGCAGAGCAATCCTCTGAATTCCGGGCATCAAAGGATCACGAGATTCGGCGGCCTAGTAGTAACTTTTTCTAGTATGTAAAACTGAAAGAGAAAGCAATTGCAAGATGAAGCAGGTAATAGTGTATACTAACAGCAAGTACTCGTACGAATAAAGATGCAAAAACAAGTCTGAATCATAATGTACAGCGGGACAATCGACTGAGAATCAACGAAAGAAAGAATAAATCCACAGAAAGAAGCAGCATCAGCTGGTAATATTATCTACTACTAGTATCTCTAGCAAATCCCACCACCAGACCGAGACCGGGACCAAAATCAGAACCAGACTTTGCAATCCGTGGGCTGGAACGGCGATGCGTTGGCGGCACCAGGGGCGGGGACGGAGAGCTTGCAGGTGATCTTGGCCTTGGGCCCGCGGACCTTGAACGACCAGACCTTGACCCTGAGCTTGGCGTCGAGATCCACGTTGACGGCGAAGTTGCCCGCGGACTGCTCCTGCCTGAACTCGGCGGCGGTGACGTCGCCCTGGAGGAGCCCCGAGCCGTGGAACTCCGGGGACAGCTTCGTGGACGCCTCCGTGCCCTGGTAGAAGGCGTCGAGCGGCGCGTAGCCGAAGCGCTGGTCCTTGTAGAAGGCGAGGGACTGGACGTCGTCGTAGTAGAGACCGACACGCGTGTTGGGGTTGCGCACCGTCATGGTCACGTTGAGGTCGTAGGCGAGCGTGGAGGACGGGGAGAGGGAGAACTGGGCGAGGGAGGCGGAGTCGACGGTCGCCGCGATCATGTGCGGCTTGAAGATGAGGTAGAGGATGAGGACGAGGATGCCGAGCGTCACGGCGAGCGAGACGAGGATGCTGCAGAGGCAGCTGAAGAGCCCGCACGCTAGGCACTTGCAGGGGCAGCACAGGCACGAGACGGCGCGGCTCGCGGAGCCCATGGTTGTGGTCGCGGTCGCCGGGTTTTGGTGAGATCCCCTCTCCGCTTGTGCTGCGGGCTTGGATTGGGTTCCGATGGATGGAATTGAAGACGCAGGACGGCGGTGCGGTGGATTGGATTTGGTGCGGGGGTGGCTGGTTTATATGGAAGCGCTGGAAGTGGAAGGAACGGCGACGCGGTTGTGTAAGCGCGTGGTGGAGTTGGAAGAGATGGCGAGGTGGGGTTAATTTGGGGGTGGTGGTTGGTTTGGCGAAGTGGGTGGCGGCCGGTGATGGGGAGACGAGGAGGCGCCGCTAGCACATGTCGGATATGCCCCCGGCGAGGAGAGGGAGCTGAGGAGTTGTAGCCGTTGTGCCTTTGGGTGGGTCGCTTTGTTTGACCGTTTGCAGCGCAACGGCCACGACGTCCCGAGTCAGGTTCAGGCACGCACAATCCCATCCCACACGGTCAGGACTCAGGACCCGCCCTGCCTTGTCTTCTGCCATCCGATCCGGGTATGGATGAAAACGGTACGGATATTTATTCGACCGTCCGTTCGACCGAACAAATATGAACACTTATTCGGATAGTTACTTGTCTTATCGGTTTTTTTTTCGGATCACGGATACTAAAAAGCGGATACACGAAAGAAAGCAATATCAATACTGGATGTAATATCATCGATATCCCGGCGGATATCGGATAATCCGGATAAGTATCGGATATATCCGGATATTTAAAGCGGATATTATCCTGATCATTTATTCAAAATTTAAAATCACAAATTTTAACCATCCAAACTATCTCAAATGGAAAGTTGACCAAAACAACAATTGTAGATCTTGATGAGTTGAACAAACTTGGTATTCAAAACTTTTCAATTTGAAGTCATTTAGAGTTCATAATACTAGAGTCAGAGTGTTGTTTTTTCATTTGACCAAATTTGACTTGGTCAAACTTGCTCAAATGAGACACTAAATGACCTCGATGAAAAAAACTTGAATACCAAGTTTGATCATCTCAGCAAGATCTACAATTGTTACATAGCTCATTTTTTCCATTTGAAAAAGTTTTATCAAACACTAGTCATAAATTTTTGAATCTCATATAGACTTTTCGGGTGCGCCAAACATGTCACACACTTGTGAAATTTGAACTATATTTTATTCAAACTTTCTCAAATGAAAAAAAATGCCTATATAAGGATTGTATATCTTGATGAGATGAACAAATTTGGTATTCAAAACTTTTCAATTTGAGACAATCTAGGGTTCAAAACTAGTTTGTACAGCAAATTTAAAAATCACAAATTGGAACCGTCAAACTATCTCAAATGGAAAGTTGACCAAAACAAAATTGTAGATCTTGATGAGTTGAACAAACTTGGTATTCAAAACTTTTCAATTTGAAGTCATTTAGAGTTCATAATACTAGAGTCAAAGTGTTGTTTTTCATTTGACCAAATTTGACTTGGTCAAACTTGCTCAAATGAGACACTAAATGACCTCCTCAGAATCAAAAACTCTGAATACCAAGTTTGATCATCTCAGCAAGATATACAATTGTTACATAGCTCATTTTCCCATTTGAGAAAGTTTTATCAAACACTAGTCACAAATTCTTGAATCTCATATAGACTTTCTCAAACTATGTCACACACTTGTGAAATTTGAACTACATTTTGTTCAAACTTTCTCAAATGGAAAAATAGCCTATATGAGGATTGTAGATCTTGATGAGCTGAACAAACTTGGTATTCAAAACTTTTCAATTTGAGACAATCTAGGGTTCAAAAGAAAACTAGTTTGTAAGCATCGAAATTTCAAAATCACAAATTTGAACTGTCCAAACTATCTCAAATGGAAAGTTGACGTCGAATTGTAGATCTTGATGAGTTGAACAAACTTGGTATTCAAAACTTTTCAATTTTAAGTCATTTAGAATTCATAATACTAGAGTCAAAGTGTTGTTTTTTTCATTTGACCAAATTTGACTTGGTCAAACTTGCTCAAATGAGACACTAAATGACCTCAGATGAAAAAACTCTGAATACCAAGTTTGATCATCTCAGCAAGATCTACAATTTTACATAACTCATTTTCCCATTTGAGAAAGTTTTATCAAACACTAGTCACAAATTCTTGAATCTCATATAGACTTTCTCGAAACTATGTCACACACTTGTGAAATTTTGAACTGACATTTTGTTCAAACTTTCTCAAATGAAAAAAGGATAGCCTATATAAGGATTGTAGATCTTGATGAGCTGAACAAACTTGGTATTCAAAACTTTTCAATTTGAGACAATCTAGGGTTCCGAAAACTAGTTTGTAAGCATCGAAATTTAAAAATCATAAAATTGAGCCGTCCAAACTATCTCAAATGGAAAGTTGATTGGGTTCCGATTGTAGATCTTGATGAGTTGAACAAACTTGGTATTCAAAACTTTTCAATTTGAAGTCATTTAGAGTTCATAATACTAGAGCTCAAAGTGTTGAAGGAATTTGACCAAATTTGACTTGGTCAAACTTGCTCAAATGAGACACTAAATGACCTCAGATGAAAAAACTCTGAATACCAAGTTTGATCATCTCAGCAAGATATACAATTGTTACATAGCTCATTTTCCCATTTGAGAAAGTTTTATCAAACACTAGTCACAAATTCTTAAATCTCATACGGACTTTCTAAAACTATGTCACACACTTGTGAAATTTGAACTACATTTTGTTCAAACTTTCTCAAAATGAAAAATGGCCTATATAAGTATTGTAGATCTTGAATCCATGACCATGACTCCATGAGACCCATGAAGCAATGTGCTTGGCTATTTCTACCATCCGATCCAAAGATTAGTGCTTATATGATGTTTGATGTATAATGTATCATGCTTTATCTTATTTGTTGCTTTACTCTTTAGTCTTCGTCTTAATCTAGATGGATTATGGACTCATAGAGTGGTGTAATGGTTTTTGCATTGATATATATATATATATATATATCGCTTTTACTCAATATCCAATAGATATTTGTATCCGAATTTCTCCGAATCCGATTCATACCGTATTCGAGTACTCATTATTCGTATCCGTAATCGAAGTCAATCCGTATTCGTATATGTATCCGAACGCTATCCGTGTCCGAATCCGAATCCGAACAGAAATATGAAAACAAATATAATATGAGTGATATCCGTTCGTATCCGATCCGTTTTCATCCCTAGATCCGGGTGATTCCCACCTTCCACGTGGGAGTGCACAATGGCCTGGAAAATACACTCCTTCGTCCCTTGAAAAAAAAATATCATTCTAGATTTAGATTCAAAGTAACTTTTTTTAAGGTTCATCAGATTTATAAAATATATTATCAACATTTGCATCTCAAATAGGTTTATTACAACGTATATTCCATGATTTATCTTATCTATCTACGATACTTATTACACATTATAAATGTTGGTTTTTTATAATGCCAAACCTATCACCATTTAATGTTAGTTGTGGGATTTGTGCAAGTAAAGCTAGCTTAACTTTGATCAAGTTTATACTGAATACATTAACATTTATGTCTTTAACTAGGTTTACTATAAGAATATATTTCATAATTAATTGAGTGATACCTATTTTGTATCATAAATGTTAGTAGGATTTTTTTATATAACTTTGATCAAACTTCAAATCATTTGATTAATTGAAAAGTGAAAACTGCATTATTTGAAAAATAAGAATGACACTTTTTCAACAATAATTAAAAGGTGAAGACTCAATCGCTTAGCTAATATCGCAAAGTTATTAGCACCTTTTTAATCCAAGTAAAGAATATCCATTTTTAATGATTTTGATGGCAATCAACTATTTTCGAATCGGTTCACATCACAGCACGCCGGCTCGTCCATCGTTCCAGGGTCTCATCTCAGAGAAACGAATGCGGTGGCGTGCGGCGCCATTCCGCTTTAAGAGCCACCAAGTCACCCCCATCGCTCCATTCTCTTGCTTCGCCCGCTTGTGCAGCGAGCCGTTGCAGGTCAAATCCTGCAGGCCAGCAGGTGTCAAGAGGATTTTTTTTCTGATCCCCAATCGCTGACAATCCACGGCAGAAATAAACTAGAAATTAAAAACGGCCTATTGCTTTCTGATGCCGTGTGTGCTTGACTACTTCCCTCAATTCACTCAAGGACACGTCGCCCGCGTGTCGCTCTCATCAGAGTGTCTTGGATTTTTTACTCGGAAGTCCATCGTCGGATCGATTGATTTGTCGCCCAGAGACGCGTGACGACTAACCATGTTTGAACCACACTGTTTCATAGTAGATCCGAAATTAAGACGCGAGCCGCGTGTTCCTAATCCTCATCGCGTGTCCGCGTAAAACCAACCCGATAGTCTGCCCGCGAGCTACCGCTACCACTGCTCCATTCATGGCCCAGGCCTGCGTGCGTACCCGCATCCTATGCTCTTGGTACGTTCGTGCTCGTGCGTCGCTACTGAAAAACTAAATTTTATACTAAAAACATATGAATCAAACGATGACGTAACAATACTACGAAATTAAATATCAACACTAAAGTAACATTTAATCTAAAAGGCAAACTTTGTGAAATTAATATAGTCACGAAAAGCACGACGCGTCAGCGCTCACAAACTCTACTATATAGATCTTTCCATGATGCGACTAAGATAATATTTTATATCGACACAAAGAGAAATCTTCGATATCCATTTCTTTCATGTGCTAATAAATCCACAAATAAGTTCCACCACATCGGCCCCGTTCGCTGGTCTAAAACTTTGCTGAAAAACACTGTTTCGGTTGAATTATTGTGAGAGAAAAACACTATTCAGCTGGTTTGATAAACAGTAAACTAAGAGGAGGAGCAGCCGGCTGGCTGGTCAAACCATACCAGCGAACTGCCCCATCTTCGTACTATACATAGGTTTATTATAGTAAAAATTAGGCATGCGTTGTAACAGAAAACAATTCAACAGGCATGCATGTGCCTGGTCTGTGGCCCTCACTGGTCCTTGA